TACATAGTCCTTTCCACACTCAGATGGTGGTTTAAATTCTTAAAAATAATATTTCTATACATTAGTAACAACCAATTAGAAAATTTAATAGAGGAGTTACTATTCCTTATAGCTATAAAATATGAAATGTTGTGGCAGTCAAGAATCTAAGGTGCCCCAATATTTTTCTACCTCAGTATACATGCCCATACCACAAAAATTACAGATTTTATTCCACTGAGTAGGATTAAAAGACATGGTGGATCTCACCTGGGTGGACATAATCTAATCACAAGGGCCCTATACAAGTACAGTGTTTTCTCTCCAACTGACCGTAGAAAAGAAAGTTGGAGATCACACTCGAGTTGGCCTGGAAGGATGAAGGCACACACGTTGTAATCTACCAATAGAAAGAGGCAGCCTTTAGAACCTGTGAGCTGTCCCTAGCCAACTATCAGGAAATTGGAACTTCAGGCCGAGAAACCCAAAGAAATTAATTCTGCCAACAATCTGTATAATATTGGAATAATGATAGGTGATTCAGTTTAAGGAGTTAGAGCTAGATGGGCCTTCAAAAACTTGCAACAACATGCTTGTTTAACAGACAACAAAACCAGTACCTGAAGATGTAAAGCCACCAATCACCAACTGGTGAGCAGGTGGCCAGGCTTGGCGTTCCACATTGTTTTGAAATTTTGCCATTGTAGTGGCATAGATGTTTATTTCCATGACTATAAAACAAATGGATAGAGATACCCAATCTCTCTTAGCACCTCTGGTTTAACTAGTTTAATATTTGAGCAATTTTAAGAAGTACAAGCAAACTATATTTGACTTTCCTCTTTCCCACTAACGCAGTTTCCTTTTACTCTCTGGATCTACAAAGCAGTGTTTAGACTAGGTAGACGACAGGAAGTGATGTCTACAAGTAAACAAATAAGATTTTCACTGTGTAAACAATTCCAGATGGATCTCAGAAAAACAGCTTGCAAGGGCAGCCTTATAGAATCACACCACTGTAGCAGGAACACTGGGTAATGGGACAGGCTTTATTTCTGTGCACAGTTTGTGTTTGCTTTTAGTCAGCTGGGAAGGCAAAGCTAATGCCAGCCCAGCACAAGGAAAGGCTGCCTCTGTTTATGTCTTAGTCCCCAAGGTAGGAGGTTAACTTTGGGGATGACAGATTAAATGCTTTGGTTTGTCATTTATATCACTGTGCACAGGTAGCTCTCAGGCATCTATATGATCTTGTACTATTTACTGCTCCTCCATCTGGTCCCAGGAAACCAGGTGTGAAATTCAGCACCGAGCAGTTTTTGCTAGCTGTGAACTGAGTTGAGCCAAATGGGCCATGCGGCCAGACTTTGGGATGTGAACATCATGGCTTATACCATGAAATTCAATTACATGTTAACCAAATTGTAAGATGTGCTCCAAGGAGAAATTTTGCTCTTTTAAAAAATGATATCACCAATTTTGGTTATCCCTGAAACAATGGGGCAACTGATACAACATTTTTATTTTCTGAGTATAAAAACAAACATTTTAATGTTATTTTTATTTGCTAATATAACTATTGAATATTACATATTATTCACTAGACATTAGATTCATTAGATATTTATTGACATTTTGGTACATATAGGTACTTCTTGAAGAACAGGTAAGGATGCAACCATTGACAAATTGCAGTGATTGTTGTTGGGCAGCCAACAAATGGTCCATGGGAATGAATATGGACAAAAGGGAAAAATTACATAAGAAATGAGGTAAGTGCCTCTTTGGAAGGTTAGAGAAGGAGAGCTGTTAGTTGAGTGAGATTAGGCATGGTTTTAGGGTAGGTTGGTATTTTGTTCGCTTAGCATTAAAAGATAGAAAGGATTTCAATGGACAGAGATGGAAGAGAGGGTCATTTCACATATGTGAAAGTCATTTTGATGTGGGAAGGTGTAAATTGTATAATGCACAGAACAAGAAATGACAAATAGTTTGATATAGTTGTAGCTGGGTTTTTTCCTCCTTCATAGTTGAACAAAGATTTATAGTCTCTTAATACCTGTTGCCTGTGAATCATTCATTTTTCTTTTTTCCACATTTTTATTGTTGTTCAAGTATAGTTGTCTCTGTACAGTTGTCTCCACTCCCCACCCCCGCCATCCCCACCTCCCACCCTGGATCCAAATAGAACTATGTCCTTCATCTCCCAGAGAATGGAACCAAGTCACAGATAATGTTAATAGTAGCTAACACTACTGGGGGATATTACTGCCAGGAAAAGTTCTAAGGCACCTTCCAAATGTTCTCTCATTCAACCTAATCCTCAAAGGGCAAAACATCCCTCTGAGGTAGAACTTCATTAACCCCACTTTACTGCTAGGAAACTGAGATGCAGAGAGGTGAAAAAAAAAACTTGTCAAAGTTAGCATAACTAAACCTAAAGCTTGGATTTAAACCAGGAAGGATGGGTTCATTGCTTCAATGTATAAATTACTTCTCTCAGCTCAGATGTGTTTAAGAGTGTGCACTTGAGCACTGATTTTCCCAACCAGTGCTTTCTACTTATCCCTCATAAGGGAAACTTAGAAAAATAATAATTATGCTTAGACATTTGGCATGAATTAGAAAATGAGCCATTAAATTTTTTGAGCAGGGGGATGCTCAAAACTAATGTTCAGACTAGACTGGAAGAAGAGAGAAGCTGTAAGAGAAGGAATTACCGAGAAGGCTGTTACAGAAGTCTAGACGCGTGTGGGGGAGATGTTTTAGGGTTTGAGAGGAAAGGTTGGCATGGTCAAGCTATGGCTCAGGCTGTGGTTAAGGTGGGGTGGCTGACTCCTGAAGGTCCTGAAGCCACCCTCAGGAAATCTATTCTTTGTTCATAATGAGCCTCTTCAGCTCCAAGTGGGCATAACTCTAGGGCTACTCATGCAATTGGTTCCTCAGCAAGTAATTACATTTGCTGGTTATTCTAATTTGCTCCTTCTGTTGGTTTTGAAGAGATTCATCAGGCAAGGCTTTGCTTTTTGATAGCCAAGTGGTCTGATCACAGGCTTACTACCCCATGAATAACAACTATAAACTCTAGAAACAAATACAAAATAGTACCACATTTTTCAGACTATAAGATGCACCCCCTATTTGGGAGGAATAATGGTTGTTAATGCTGTGGTTGAGTTCAGTTTACATTTACATTGGTGAAATATTATGTTATTTGTGTTACTAAACATTTTATCGTATTTTTTGCTTCAAAATTTTTTTCTATTTTCCTCCTCCAAAATCTAGGTGCATTTTATGGTCTGAAAAATACAGTAGTTACCTAAAGGTTCTACAGAGTAAACATGAGGAGAATAGAAACTTGGAAGAAGGGGAATGCAGGAGGTAATTTCTTGACACTTTAGCCAGAGAGCAGGTGACATGTAGTGCTGTGAATAAAGAGTAAAACTCTAATAATTTGCAGACTTTCTGGCCTGTAGAACCAGAGGACACAGAGTTCAGGGTAAGGACTGCTTCTGAGTAGTAAGGGTAGAATCTCAAAAGGGATAATACCAAAGAGGAGGACCTCAAATCTGTGTACAAACTTTGCTCAAATCTGACTCCTAAACTGTACGTGTATGGGAAGACAAGGCAACCTGACTGAGGAAAGACAAAACAAGTCAAACAAAGCCAAATTTTGACTGAGATTTGAGCTACTGCCTAGGAGACAGTATTTATAATGTATGCCCAACTAAGTAACTGCCTACTACACAAAATGCCATCACTCTTTAGAAGAACAAATGTGACCCATTCTCTCAAGAGACGTAACAATCAATGGAGGTCAACCCTGAGAATAAGCGAATATACACATAAGTCAATTAACTATGCTCAGTAAGATACAGGAAAATGCACTCATAGTAAATGAAAGGATAGGGTATCTCAGGGGAGAAAATATAAGCTATAAAAAAAGGTACCAGTTGAAATTCTAGAACTAAATAGAGTCAGTGTGTACTTTATCTTGTGGTGGGGGTAGACCAAACAATGGTGAAATGGTGAAACCCATAGAAGAGCAGACTTGAGAATTATGTTTTGAGAAATTCCCAGGAGACCTCATGACTACAACAATGTTTCTTAAGTCACTTCAGTAACAAGGATGTTTTAACCAAATTTTAATGTTTGAAGAAAGTTCTCTTAAAAGTGAAGTCGTGGCTGGTTGCAGCCCAGTGGATTGAGCACCTGATTGTGAATCAAAGGATTGCTGGTTTGATTCCCAGTCAGAGCACGTGCCTGGGTTGTGGGCCCGATCCCCAGTAGGGGGCACATGAGAGGCAACCACTCACTGATATTTCTTTCCCTCACTCTCTCCCTCCCTTTCTCTCTAAAAATAAATAAAATATTTTTTAAAAAGTATTTCCCCATGAAATATACTGTTGGAAATTTCACCATTAGAAGAGTAACTCTTTAATAAGATGTTTTCCTTTGCACTACATGTTGAGAGCAAAACATATGTCACTATAACCAGAGGAGAGTGCATCACCAAGGAGATCAAGGACGTAGAATGAAAAGAAAAATAATCCACTCTCCATTTCTGCTGCCACCTCTCTTGTTCCTCACCTAGAACGAAATACAAGCATGTAAATTTCAGAATATGTTTATTACCTTGTTTACCTCATTAAATTACATCCATCCCTCATACTTTCAGTAAGAATTTAAGAATACTTAAACTACACATATTAGTGAGAAAGAGATATAAATATCTACACAGGTTTTACAAGCCATGTAGCGAAATGAAACAAAAAAAATTTCAAAAACGTGTGATATGATGGTTTTAAAATTAAATATTATGTTTTACTTTGACTAAAATATAAAGGCATTCTTCCTGTGTAATAATAACTAATCATTAATAAATAATGGCACCTTAGCCATTAAAATGTTAGTTACAAAGATTATGAAGAAATTAACAAGAGCAAATAAAAAAATAACATGTATACTCTAAATATAAGTTAAAAGAGTCTTTGTTAAGGCAAGATATAGAAAACCAAGAAAAATCAAAAAGAAGAATTTTAAAACTGAGGGGATAAAACTGTGATAGATTTTTCTTAATTTATCTAATAAATAAACTTTAATTAGCAATAATCGCAACTCGGATAAACCTCATTGGCTACAATACTGCCACTGCACAAAGCAAATAAAATAGCTTTCTCCTTCTGGCAACAGAGACTACAAGGAAAAGAGGGTTAGATTTTACTTTGATCATTAAATGACTGGTGATCTCCATAGAAAAAAAGCTATTCAGAAACACAGGAGTTTTAGAACTGCTCCTGCCTCGGGGAACCTCTGAGACTCCCTCACCCTGTGGGTCTGAAGCTGCCCTGATTTGCTCTGATGAAGCCCATACCCCTGTTCGTTCAGGCCACAGAAACTGAAGTGCAGTCTGAGGATCGACACAGAACATAGGATCTGTCTTGTTATTCAATAATGCTAGAAAGACTTGAAAATTTTTTTCAAGACATTCTTTAAAAAAATGATTCTCACCTCACAAGCTACTTTAGCACAAAGGCAATTTAAATTACATTTCAATCAATGATGCAAATAAAGCGTTTCTTCAAGCCCGAGAGTAGGAAAACAACACATTATAAATGATTCTTGAGGTTCAGACAGGCTCTGCAGATTTTTGCTGCTCTTGCAGAAAATGAGGGGATGGTGATTGCCACACCAGGTTCTTCTCAGAAAATGTGCATGAGTCCTGAAGGCGGAGCCGCATGTGGTTCACCTGATAATTTGTCTAGCACAAGAGAGGCTGAGGGGATGAAACAAAACCCCCTAAGATACAGGAACTCTACGATGACTTTATGCTAGCTCGGTTTATGTCCTTATGTACTGCTGTTTTTAAAGACTTCTGTGAATCCATCTCAGAGAGCTATCTCTCTCCTCCCAATCCAACATCTCTTAATTTACCATCTTCTTATGGCTCTTTTAATATTCTAACATCCATTATGCTTATAAGAGGCAATATGGAGAACATCATAGGTAGGGTTTTTTTTAACGGAACTCCATTTATCTAATAAGTATTTATCAAGTAAGTTTTCTGAAATTGTCAAATACACATAGTTCTCATTAATGAAATAGAGAGAATCACAACTGACTCAGCTGTTTCCATGAGGAGCACATGAGACAATATGTGTACACAGTTCAGCACAGACCTGAACATGAATAAATGATCAATAAACATTAGCTAGCAAATACTTTTCTCATCTCTTTTGCCAAATTTCACCTTCTTGAGTTAACTTCTTAAGACTAATCTTTTTCTGTATTACAAACCCAGCAAAGAAAATACATAGTAAATACAACAAGGTTTCTGTAGGAGAACATCCCTGAATTATATACCTGTTATATAGTTTAAGTGCTTGTTAGTTACCTACTACTACATCCCACCTCTCTCTCCCAGTCAATATTGATAGTACAAGTGTTCTCATCCTTTTGTATTGGTTCCTTGCCTTGTTTGCTTCCTGTGTTTTGTTGGGATTCATCTGCTAAGTGAGGCTGGGCGACCCCCAGGGAGTAACTCTGTCTCCCACACAAGATGACAAGTTTGGGTGATGGAAGCCATTAAAAGGGAAGTGTTATATCTGTTCCAATGTATTATAAAAAAGAGGCGCATCCTTAAAATCACTTATACTTTAACTATTATGGTACCTAAATTATTTGTAATAACACCTCAACTGATCAAAAATCAGGAACATGTGCCTCAGTAGCTGAAAGCAGCTTTAACAGCTTCTGTTTCTCAGAGGTCAACTGTATGTGTTGCAAATGAGGATCTTGAGTTTCCTACTTCTCTCATTATCCTTTTAGAGCTTTTTAATGATTCCTTGATTGTCCAATGACATCTATTTGCTTTTCTAATTCTTTTAATTATTTCTGGGGATGATTTCAATCTAGTTACACTTTGGTGAATCCCAAACTTTTAAATTTTTTTGTGTTTTCCAAAAATCATTATACTTGCTTATATCAATCCACTTTTCTTTATGTTTATTCTACCTATAAAGGGACCTGTTTAGTTTATTAATTTCTCTCATATAGTCTTTTATACAATGTACTGAAAAGTCAATAGATTGAAGATTGTCAAGAAGGTATATAAAACTGAGATAATTCATCAGACTCTCACATCCAATCATATGCGTTCTTTCCTACTCATAACGGAGCTGATGTCTTTCTATTTAGTGTAGATGAATGATTCAAAACTCCAGAAAAAATTCAGAATTTCACAAATTTGACAGTTTTTATCAATTTGTTAGTTTCATATTAGTCACAGTGGAGACTCTGGCTCATCCTTCTTTCAAAGACAGATCTGCCAGCCCCAATTTTGAAGTGTTAGACACAAGGAACAATACGGGAATTGAGCAAGAAAATGAGGTCTCTTCCTGTTTGTTGTGCATTTGTCTTCAGGGAGGACTTAAACAATGTACATGCTCTGAGAGGTTAACTTAGGAATCCAACTCTGGAAAAAATGACTTCAGCAGTGAGTGTACCTAGAGACTGCAGAAGCCGCGATATCAGAAAGCCAGGCTCTCATCACTTGCCTAATAACCCCAGCCCACAGAGAACTGTCATAACCATGCAGAGGAATATAGTGATCTGTATACTCTGTGTTTTTCTACATTGTTTCTGAGGAACAGTCTGTCTGCTGGGAGAGAAATCTACCTAGTTCAGATTAGGGGTAAAACTGTAGGAGGTACAATTAGCTTCACAAATTGTCAGGAGCTTTTAAGAGTTATTCACTCTTAAAATACTTTAATGATTAGGTATCTCAGGATTCAGCCTTTATAGTACCAAAAATAAATGTCAATTTTAATATCTCAATCAGTGATTTCTCCAAATGAATCTGGCAAACCATTTCACATTTCTGTTTCAACATGCCTGTGAGGAAGAAACTAGAGCAAATAAGATGGAAACCCCCAGCAAGGTCGATGAGTAATGATGATTGTGTCTTTCCGATTCATCTCCCTCACAAAGTAAGTGTCTGGAATTTGTGATTATTGTGGGGCTGTTCGTTAGTGATGACAACTGCATGGTCTCAGTTGGGAAAATGTGTTCTGTTCTGGGTTATTGAGTCGTGTGAAGTCACTTGCAATCTTTCTTTTTTTTAAGATTTTATTTATTTATCTTTAAAGGGGAAGGGGGGAAGGAGAGAGGGAGAGAAACATCAATGTATGGTTGCCTTTCATGAGTCCCCTGCTGAGAACTGGCCTGCAGGGAACCGGCCTGCAACCCAGGCGTGTGCCCTGACTGGGAATAGAACCATGATCGTGTGGTTCGCAGGCCCGCGCTCAATCCACTGAGCTACACCAGCCAGGGCTCAATCTTTCTTTTTTAAAAAAAAATGACAAAGAGTGATAATTTAATTTCTAAAGTCTAATGGCCAACAAGCACTTAATAACCAATTCAGCCTAGATTCCCTTCTATTTTTTCAGATGAAAATATCACAGCATAATTTATTTTTTATCATCACTAATAGGAATAATTCATACTATTTTTCTGGTATAAAATTATTATGTGGTAGCCACAGCTGGAGCCTGGGTGACATGCACAGAAGCCCTGTCATGGGTCTTTACAAGATGGTCAGTGAGTTTCTGATAGTGAGACTTGGTCAACACAGCTTCCTTCCAGAGGTTGGGGAGGTAAGCTATAGGTCTTGAAGATGGCATCAAAGGTGGCCTTGGTGAAGTTGCCCAGGGTGGCAGTGCAGCCCTGGCTGAAGCATAACAGCCATCGCTACTGGCCATCAGCAGCAGCTTCTTGGGGACAGGGGTTGAGACATGCCAGCACCCCTGGGGACAGGGATGAAGCACACCAGCATGAAGCCATAGCGCCTGATCAACTTGCAGGGGATGGTATGGGGTTTGTGATCTTGCCCCCCAGGAGCCTCAGTGCACAGGGAAAATAGAGACCTTGGCCAGGATAATGGCCCCATGGATGACAGTGGCTACCTCCTTTTATCACTTAACACCCAGAGCAATATGTCTGTTGTCCCAAAGGCAACAAATGCCTTGAACCAAGTCCTGTGGCCAGGGCAGGTCTGCTTTTGCAGGGGCATTAACTTCAAAACCTCGTCCTTGAGAAATGCCCCCAAGAAAAAGTCAGTGATCTCAGATTTCTAGATGGGCAAGGTGAAGAGATAGAATCTGCTCCAAGGACTTGATCAAAGACATCCTTGACCAGGTGGCCCAGCTTGGTGACAGGGATCCATTCCTTGCCCTCAGCCTTGCCTCTGTGAGCTCTGTGGCCTTGACCCTAACTGTGACCCTGGCCAAGACCTCAGTCCCTGGATGCCACTGCCAAATCCTCCAAAGCCTACACAGCTTCCCATTGCAGGGTGCCCAGGGCCTCTGGGCCCTCCCACAGCACTAGGGTCATCTGCCATTGGATATCTCCTTGGAAAAGCAGCTCAAGTCATAATTTTAAAGAAGATGAATTTGAAAGAAGTTGAAAGCCAAAATGTTAAACAATAGAGGATGAATGAGAACTTCTAGAAAATAGTTTATTATTCCAAATACATATTAAGCATATTTGTTTGTGGAATATCATGAGCATGGAAATAAATAATGTATTTCTGTCCTCAAGGAGCTTTTCATTCTGTAAGGGAGGCAGACAGGAAAAAATAATTATAAAACAAGAAGGAAACAACTTCTAGGATAGAAGCAGAAATGGCATTGATATAATGACTAAGTTATGTTAAATACTTCAGTGTATACAATATTATATATGTAAACAACAGATATGTGTATAATTTATATACATAACATATGTATATGTGTGTATATGTACATATACTATGTATTATAAATAGGAATAATAGTATTATAAATAGGAATAATTATAACTGTTATGTAAGTAATTCCCAGGTACATCTGGAATTCTATTCAGGGACACACATTCTGAACATTAGGAAGCCTCAACCTCAGAGAAAACTAAACATGATATCTGTATTTCTAGAGCTATAATCAAAATTTTGTTAGTTGTCATGCCGATGCCAAAAATGGGTGAACTTGGTGTCCTAGTAATACAATAAATGGATGAATACTAGGAATTGTCCTTAAGTGGTGAAATGAAACTTTTTAAAAACAATGGATTGGGAGAAATGTTTAAGAGACATTGCCTACCCTTTTATAAACAGTGTCCAAGAATCC